GGGGGTGATCGGGAGAGGGTAGCTGAGGGTATTCTTAGGGTAGTTGAGGTTGAGGAGCAGGATAAGAGTGGAAGAAAGGTACCCTTGATCGGGGAGGGAGGGATACCAGGGGGATTGCTGGGGGAGTGGGAAGTAGAAGGACAGGCATGGCGGAAAGGGGCCCTAGGCTCTTGGCAGGTTGAGGGGAAGTGATACCTGGGGTGAAAGCAGGGGAGATACCCCTAGGCAGGTGAGGTGGAGGAGTATAAGGGCAGAGGGAGGGGATATCTGGGGGGCCAAACTTAGGGTAGGTGGGGTGGTGGAGGACGATAAGGATGAAGATAGGGGAAGGGATTAGAAGGAGGGAGCTGCCAGGGGAGGTGGGGTGTGGGATTGGCGAAGGGGGTAAGGCCTTGGATCTAAGGTAAGGGAGATACCCGTGGTGGGTGAGGAAAGGACTGACTAGTTGTGGGGTGAACGCAAGTGTCTCCGAGGGTAAGGGGGTCCGTCCGAGTAAGTCAAAGGGAGGGGTTGCCCATTAGGATTGGATGGATGCACAGGGTGGCTTAGGAGAAGGGATAAGGACTTGTTGAGGTATGTTCTAGGGTGGTATGGGGTGATGCCTACGTTTCCTTGGTTGAGGGGAAGTGAATGTGGCAGGTCCTTTGTGAGTTGGTATCCAGTTGTAGATGGGCAGATGGCAGCAGGTACCTGGTAGCAGTAGGGCTGGCTGTAGCCACAGATGTCCTTCTTGGGTAGCCTGCCTCAGTCCCCTAAGCTCTGTGGGTGTCAGGTAGTGGTCCAGAAATCAAGGGAGGAGAGATGGTTGGGATAGGGAGAGGCTGGGGACTAGGCAAGAGCTGAGGGAATGGGGACATTTTTGACATCAGGACTCAGAAGGCCCTTAGTTATAGCTTTATGTTTGCATTTCCTTCACTGCTGCTCATGCTTTCATAGGCCCCGTCACTTCCAAGCCCTTGGAAGAGGCCAGATCCCCCCATAAAATAGCCAAGTAACATATTTTATCCGTCCTTGATTGTAAGCACCTGTCTTTGAAGCATTGATTGTAGGCGCTACTACATTGATATTAATAATGCTTCATGTAGCACCAGAAGCCTGATGGGTGCTTTCCAGCCCAAAGCAAAAGTTGTGTTTCAGATGGGTACAGCTTAGGTTTTGAAAAGCAGTTTTTCCAAAGGGGGGCAGTGATTTGGGGTACCTTCATTTGGTTTTGTGGCCCTGGTGTTCAGAGGTGTTGAAAAAAACCCCCCCAGATCCTGCTGACTTTGGTTGTAGATACAAATGCTGAAAATCCCTAAAAATCAGGACCAAGATATGGCACTCCAGTTGAGGCTCCTGAAACCACTGGTATCTTTTGAAAATGTTATCCTGAATGACTGCAAATGGCCCTTTGTTGTACATATTAATGTTGTGTAGGTTTGACCAAGCAATACTGGAGATTAAAGTAGCAGAGGCACCTGTAAAGTACAGCTGTGCTCATCTGTGTCCCATTTGGCTCCCTTCTGACTCCAGGGGAAAAGAGAAAGCGCTTTACCCCGCTGCCAAACATAGGGTTTTGACTTGTGCATGGAGGCTATTTCCTTCTCTTCTCCTCTCCAGTGCTACTTTCCAGGAAAAACAGCTCCAGTATCTCCTGCTGCTGTTAGTGATTCCCCCCCCTCCTCCACAGCAGGCAGAATGAAACTGACATGAGGCTGATCAGTTTAATGAGTACTATTCTAAACAGTAGTCATGAAACTGACCAATATCCTGTCAATGCTGCTGCTTCTTGGGTAAGTGCTAAGCAGCAACAGAGGCACTGCTCTGTCAGTTTGCAAGCGAAGGCCTGGTCTCCACTTCTAACTTGTACCAGCATAGCAAAGGTTGTCTGCGGGATGGGGTTTCTATGCTGATAGAATTTCTTCTCCTGGTGGAATATGCTGCTATGCTAGCATGGCCATGCTCATGAAGTTGGGTTGGCATAGGTTCTGGAGTGTAGACATCAGTCCATGATGCCAGCCTCTGTCATCTTTTCTGCATTTTCAAACAAGTGCCTCTATGCTTTGTCCCATTCTGCTTCAGAGGTGCTCCCTGTAAACATTCCCAAGCTACTTCATTGTCCTCCTAAAAGCTCTGCTTTGCCATGGCGCCTGTACAAAGCTTAGCAAGGGTTTGCCAAAATGTTGCCCAATGTGTTGATTGATATTGTTTCTTCGGGCTCCCATCTGTCTGTAGCCATGTGTGATTTCTTGCCCTTTGCTTAGATTGTAAGCTCTCTGGGGCAGGTGATTGTCTTTTGTACAGCACCTAGTACAATGGGGGTCCTGGTCCATGAGTGAGCATCCAAAGTGCTACAAGAATACAAATAATAGTAATATAGTGCCATTCCAGCAAAGCAGAAAGTCAGTTGTTATCTCTGGTCTGGGAGCAGACTAAGGATGTTAAATATTGGGTAATTGACTCATCAGATAGTAGATGCATTTTGCATTGACTATTTGGTTAGTCAATAGGGGGCCTCTGCCTTCAAGTATAGCAACAGCCCTAGGGCTATGCTACACTTCAAAGGTGAAAGTGCCAGGTGGCACCTGGTCGGGCTGCATGCAGCTTTTCAAAGCAGCAGCGCTGCGTGGAGCCAGGGGTCTGGCCCCAGGCTTCAAGCAGCATTGCTGCTTTGAAATAACCACTTTCTCCCCCTCCCTTGCTGCCTCTATCTGATAGAGGCAGTGAGGGAGGGAGATAGTCAACTAGTCACTATCTGATAAGTTTGCTTATAGGATAGTCGACTAGACCTTCATATCCCTAGAGCAGAATCCCTGTTAGTTAGCCTTTGTCTCTTGCCTCTTTCCTACACTTTGAGACTTGCCACACTGCACGTGCTGTGTGACTCCCAGCCACCCTGCGTTAGCTTGGGAAATGGTATTACTGACTCTCTGGATGCTATCTTGCCTCCGGGTATAGTCTGTCATCTTATCTCTTTGTCAGTTTCTGTCTTAATGGGTAGTAATCAAGGAAGCCTAGGATTGGGAGTCAAAGTTCCTGGGTCCTTCCCTCGGGATGGGAGTGGGAGCTTAGAGGTTGCAGCAGGATCTGGGAGGCAGAGCTCTTGGATTTTCTCCCTGTCTCTGTTGCTGACTTGTGTATCATTGGGCAAGTCACTGCCTTGCTCTGTGCCTCAGTTTACCCATAGAACAGGATAATACTTAGGAAGTCTTGCACTGCCTGTCTGACTCCCAGGCCCAAAGAATAACATTGCAGTTCACACAGCGGTTTTCCAGGCATTGGATGTAGGAGGATCAATGTAGGAAATACAGTACATGCTGTTTCTGTCTGTCAGTGGTTTGAGAAGTCTGGTTTTTCCAGGCTCCTCTGATATCTAGCTAATGCCTTGTGGTTGTCTTGGCTTTTCAGGTGCAAAGAGACTCTAGGGTCTTATTCCAGCTGCTGTATGTGCTATGTAGCTGACTTCTTACCCTTTTCCTTTCAATAGGGTGACTCTCACAGCTATAATGGATGACTTGAATCTGCACTACCGGTTCCTGAACTGGAGGAGGAGGATCCGAGAGATCCGCGAGGTGCGAGCAGTCCGCTATCAGGAGAGATTCAAACACATTCTTGTCGACGGGGACACACTTAGGTAACTGGTTGAACAGGCAAACTGGAAAGTGAACATAGAGCAAGGAGCATCCTGGCACAGGGAAGGGGTCCATTATGGCTAGGGATGTAAAATCCTTTTAAATCAGTTAACCGGTTAAAATTTACATTTAACTGGTTAACCAATAAAGCGGGATGCGCAGGTGGGGCATCTGGCCTGGCTAGAGCAGCCTCCAGCCCCACAGGGCTGCTGGCTTGCGGCCTGTGGTGCTGCTTAACCAGTTACTGGTAAACATCACTCAGTAAGGGTGATGGTAACGGATTACCTGTTCGACATCCCTATTTGTGGCCTGGTATTGTCTTGTTCTGCCTCTGCAACTAGGGACTGCAGCATAAAGTGAAATTGGTGAACTCTCTGAAGTGCTTTAGAGCTCAGATTGATTCTTTCTCTGCTCTAGACAGGGGTTGGATGGGCACTTCAACCTGAATGTCATCAGTGAGTAGTGCAGCACCCTGGGGTTATGTCAGTGAGTTGAGACAAGGTCGGAGCTTGAAAAGACACATCGGTTCATTGTCTCCACCCCCTCCTTCATCCAGGGTTGCTGGTTAGGCTGTGGCTGTACATAACGTATATTGTCCTGTGCTTTATAATGTTGAATGTCCCAAGGGACAACGCTTCCATAGAGGAGATGGATGCTTTTGTGGTTCTGTTCTTGGCATCTACCTGAGGCAATCCCCTTTCCAGCTCTACTGACCTACCTCGCCATAAGGCGTAAGTGTCTGGAGCAGGCTTTGAAGTGCTCTAGAAGTGCAGCATACTATTTGCAGGTGTGGTGTTTCCAAGGCCTGGCAGGTGGCAGGTTGGACTGAGCTACAAATCCCGCAAGTAGGAGAGGTGGGGAAAGAGGGACTTGCTGCGAGGACCAGCAGCCTTGCTGGCTGGACTAGGACCACAGGTTGGGAAGCAAAGCCATCCAATTTGCTTTCTGAGCCCTTGAGCCTACAGTTCCAAAGTAATGTATCATTTTGTGGGGCCCCACTTGAGATCCCAAGGACCTGCCTTTCAGAGGCTGTCTGAGAATTGGGCACTTCCAAGGCATCTCAAGTGGGGCACCCAAAATTGTCAGTCACTTTAGAAACTCCAGGCCATTGTCCCCTGCGCCTGGGGCACTTGGTGATTGAATTTGGCAGTGATTGTTCTATTCGCTAGCTCAGCCAGCAAGTGAACATGACGGTCACCTTTGCTGGGCTAGCTGCCCAGCCACAAGTCCCCCACTCCTTGCTATCCCTTGTCATGTAAAGTGCCTAGCCCAGACCATGATGTCTAAGTAATGGGGCCTCTGATTGCTCTTCTGTAGTTACCATGGGAATTCTGGGGAAGTTGGCTGCTACGTCGCGCCTCGCCCGCTGACCAAAGACAACAACTACTTTGAGGTAATTTAACCTGCTGGGGCTGGGTGAATTCCCTGGGTCTAATGTTCTCTAAAGAGCCTTCATGAGTTTGTCTGTCTCTCCTGATGACACCTTCTCTTATCTTCTTTTGCTAGCCTAGCATGCTGCGCCTCTGGGCTCTGAGCCCTTTGCCATGTGTTCTGCCAGGAATTTCTGAGCTGAGATTCCTGGATGTGAAGACTGGAAGGGGCCTCCTGTATAACAGGCCAGAGAATTTCCTCCCAGTTACCCCTGTAAGGAGCCCAGTAACTTGCCTGAGTAAAGCAGCCCTTCCAGAGAGCCTTCCCATCTGGGTCTGAATCCTCAAGACAGGGGTGGGGAACCTAAGGCCCGGGGGCTGGGTGCAGCTCCTGGCTTGCCTGGCTCGGGGCTTCCCCCAGCATTGGGGAGCCCACTCTGGTGAGGAGTGGGTTTTCTTTGTTTATCACTTGTGTGCAGCCCCCGACTGTTTTTTCTGTGGGACAGTGGCCTGCAATCAGAAAAAGGTTTCCCACCCCTGCCTAAAGAGATGGAGAAGCCACCGCTTCTGCTGGTGATTTGTGCAAGTGGTTAACAACCCTCACTGTTACAAATTGGTGTCCTATGTCAGTTGGGACCTGTCTGGCTTTACCTTCCAGCCATGGGTTCTTGTTTTGCCTTTCTTTGCTAGATGAAAGGACCTTTGGTCCCTGGTGTGTTTTTCCTGGGAAGATGCTTAGACAGATTGATCAAGTGATTTCTGTTTTCTTTTTGATAAGCCATTCTCAGAGCTCATGCCTAGCCTCTGCCATTGTTCTTTGTCCATCTCCCTTACTTGAGCATGGAGGATCTAAACTCTCTTGCACCCCTGCTCCTGAAGCTACAGCCAACTTTCTGTTGTGCAGCGTTGCTGTGCCCTGGCTGATCACCCAAGCCATTGCATTAGCATGTGCTGGTGCTCCGGTGAGGAACTGAGAGCGTGCTTCTGGCCAGAAGTGCTGCTGGTGGAATGGAAAGGAATTGTTCTTATACCTACTTGCAGGTGTCGATTGTGGACAGTGGGGTGCGGGGGACCATCGCTGTGGGCCTTGTGCCGCAGTATTACAGCCTGGACCATCAGCCAGGGTGGCTTCCTGATTCCGTGGCCTACCATGCCGATGATGGCAAGTGAGTTGGGTGCTACCCAGTCACCAGATTAGCGGAGTGTTGTGAGGGAGCATGGCTGGGGAGCATGTTGGCGTGTGCTTGTCTCCTGTGTCATTTCCTGAGCAGCTGAGTGAAAAGGGCTCTGGAGGGATGGCAGAGGGGGTCATAGACTGCTTTGGCTGAGACCTGCTGTACAAGGGGCTGGTAGCTTTCAGAGAGGCTGTGGTTTTAATGTAGGGCAGATGGTGTGTGTGTGTGTGTGTGTGTGTGTGTTTTAATGTAGGGCAGATGGTGTGTGTGTGTGTGTGTGTGTGTGGAACAAAGGAATTTATTTGATGAGCAGTAAAAGCCCTGAGCTGACAGTCATAACAAGAACAAAAGAACAGCCATACTGGGTCAGACCAACAGTCCAGCTAGCCCAGCAATGGCCAGTATCAGATGTTTCAAAGGGAATGAACAGAACAGCGCACTTTATCAAGTGACATCCCCTGTTGCCCAATCCCAGCTTCTGGCAGTCCGAGGGTTAGTGGGGAAACACCAGTAGATTGCTCTGTGTATTGCTCAGCATGGAGACATCTCCCTTTGTGCTGTGGATGCATGTTCCATATCTCTGGTCCAAAGGACTATGCAAATCTTCTGAAAATGTGCCAAGCTGCCACTGCCATGGCATGTTGGGTGCCGTCCCTTGGTGATTGAATTTGGCAGTGATTGTTCTATTCGCTAGCTCAGCCAGCAAGTGAACATGACGGTCACCTTTGCTGGGCTAGCTGCCCAGCCACAAGTCCCCCACTCCTTGCTATCCCTTGTCATGTAAAGTGCCTAGCCCAGACCATGATGTCTAAGTAATGGGGCCTCTGATTGCTCTTCTGTAGTTACCATGGGAATTCTGGGGAAGTTGGCTGCTACGTCGCGCCTCGCCCGCTGACCAAAGACAACAACTACTTTGAGGTAATTTAACCTGCTGGGGCTGGGTGAATTCCCTGGGTCTAATGTTCTCTAAAGAGCCTTCATGAGTTTGTCTGTCTCTCCTGATGACACCTTCTCTTATCTTCTTTTGCTAGCCTAGCATGCTGCGCCTCTGGGCTCTGAGCCCTTTGCCATGTGTTCTGCCAGGAATTTCTGAGCTGAGATTCCTGGATGTGAAGACTGGAAGGGGCCTCCTGTATAACAGGCCAGAGAATTTCCTCCCAGTTACCCCTGTAAGGAGCCCAGTAACTTGCCTGAGTAAAGCAGCCCTTCCAGAGAGCCTTCCCATCTGGGTCTGAATCCTCAAGACAGGGGTGGGGAACCTAAGGCCCGGGGGCTGGGTGCAGCTCCTGGCTTGCCTGGCTCGGGGCTTCCCCCAGCATTGGGGAGCCCACTCTGGTGAGGAGTGGGTTTTCTTTGTTTATCACTTGTGTGCAGCCCCCGACTGTTTTTTCTGTGGGACAGTGGCCTGCAATCAGAAAAAGGTTTCCCACCCCTGCCTAAAGAGATGGAGAAGCCACCGCTTCTGCTGGTGATTTGTGCAAGTGGTTAACAACCCTCACTGTTACAAATTGGTGTCCTATGTCAGTTGGGACCTGTCTGGCTTTACCTTCCAGCCATGGGTTCTTGTTTTGCCTTTCTTTGCTAGATGAAAGGACCTTTGGTCCCTGGTGTGTTTTTCCTGGGAAGATGCTTAGACAGATTGATCAAGTGATTTCTGTTTTCTTTTTGATAAGCCATTCTCAGAGCTCATGCCTAGCCTCTGCCATTGTTCTTTGTCCATCTCCCTTACTTGAGCATGGAGGATCTAAACTCTCTTGCACCCCTGCTCCTGAAGCTACAGCCAACTTTCTGTTGTGCAGCGTTGCTGTGCCCTGGCTGATCACCCAAGCCATTGCATTAGCATGTGCTGGTGCTCCGGTGAGGAACTGAGAGCGTGCTTCTGGCCAGAAGTGCTGCTGGTGGAATGGAAAGGAATTGTTCTTATACCTACTTGCAGGTGTCGATTGTGGACAGTGGGGTGCGGGGGACCATCGCTGTGGGCCTTGTGCCGCAGTATTACAGCCTGGACCATCAGCCAGGGTGGCTTCCTGATTCCGTGGCCTACCATGCCGATGATGGCAAGTGAGTTGGGTGCTACCCAGTCACCAGATTAGCGGAGTGTTGTGAGGGAGCATGGCTGGGGAGCATGTTGGCGTGTGCTTGTCTCCTGTGTCATTTCCTGAGCAGCTGAGTGAAAAGGGCTCTGGAGGGATGGCAGAGGGGGTCATAGACTGCTTTGGCTGAGACCTGCTGTACAAGGGGCTGGTAGCTTTCAGAGAGGCTGTGGTTTTAATGTAGGGCAGATGGTGTGTGTGTGTGTGTGTGTGTGTGGGAAACAAAGGAATTTATTTGATGAGCAGTAAAAGCCCTGAGCTGACAGTCATAACAAGAACAAAAGAACAGCCATACTGGGTCAGACCAACAGTCCAGCTAGCCCAGCAATGGCCAGTATCAGATGTTTCAAAGGGAATGAACAGAACAGCGCACTTTATCAAGTGACATCCCCTGTTGCCCAATCCCAGCTTCTGGCAGTCCGAGGGTTAGTGGGGAAACACCAGTAGATTGCTCTGTGTATTGCTCAGCATGGAGACATCTCCCTTTGTGCTGTGGATGCATGTTCCATATCTCTGGTCCAAAGGACTATGCAAATCTTCTGAAAATGTGCCAAGCTGCCACTGCCATGGCATGTTGGGTGCTGTCAGCCCTATTTCTTAAGCAGGCATCAACACCCTGCTGGGCCTTCCACTGAGCTGCACCATCTGCTTCCTCATCACAGAGAGGAAGGATGGGCCTAAGGGTTAGGAGGCCTGACTCCTCCTTGGGAGGCCTGGCTCAAGTCTCAGACTTCCTGGCTGATATTGGGCAAGTCACATGGCTGCTCTGTGCTTTGGTTCCCCATCAGTGGGGTGCTCAGAGGCCTGCTGACAGGTCCCAGACAGGTGCTGAGGATGGACAGATGCCAGTCTGACTCAGCTGGCGGCCAGTCTGCCATGCGTCCAGACCATCTCCTGCAGCAGCCAGGCTAACTGCACTGAGGTTAGCTGGTGCTACTTGGGATCCTATGCAAATGGAAGGGTTACTCCCCCGACGGTGCTGTGTGTCACTGCAGAGGCCCAGGGTCGATAGACGTAAAATGCTCCTCTCTTGCCACGCGTTCATTTTGCCCTTAGTGCCAAGCCAGTCTCACATCAGGGCTGGTCACTCCTTGCTCTTTGCACCTACAGGCTCTACAACGGCAGAGCAAAGGGGCGACAGTTTGGGACGAAGTGCAGCTCAGGGGATCGGATTGGCTGCGGGATCGAGCCGGTTTCTTTTGAGGTCCAGACAGCCCAGATTTTCTTCACCAAGAATGGAAAGAGGGTGAGCGCTGCTTGTTAAAACTGTTGCAGAACCTACTGGGTTTCATAGAATGCACAGAATCCTAGAATCCGAGAACTGGAAGAGAGCTCAAGTGGTCAGAAAGTCCAGTCCCCTGCACTTATGGCAGGACCAAGCACGATCTAGACCATCCCTGACAGGTGTCTGTCTAATCTGCTCATATATCTCCAGTGATGGAGATTCCACAACCTCCATAGGCAGTTGATTCCAGTGCGTACCCACCTTGACAGGAAGTTTTTTCTAATGTCCAACCTTGTGGCAATTTAAGCCCATTGCTTCTTGTCCTGTCCTCAGAGGTGAAGGAGAAGATTTTTTTCCTTTCTCCTTATAACACTCTTTTAGGTACTTGAAAGCTGTGATTATGTCCCTTCTGTCTTCCAAACTAAACAAACCCAGTTCTTTTAGTCTTCCCTCATAGGCCATATTTTCTAGAGCTTTAAACATTTTATTGCTCTTCTCTGAACCATCTCCAGTTTATCTACATCTTTCCTGAAATGTGGTGCCCAGAACTGGACACAGTACTCCAGTTGAGGCCAGCGCAGAGTGGAGCAGAAGAATGACTTCTCCTGTCTTGCTCGCAGCACTCCTGTTAATGCTTCCCAGAATGATGTTAGGTTTTTTTGCGATAGTGTCACATGTTGACTTATATTCAGCTTGTGGTCCTCAGCTTGTGGGGGGAATGGATCTGTCAAAAACCAAGTAACTGGTTGAACTCTCCCATAGTCACAGCTTCAGGGCAGACTCTGCAAAGATGAGGCTGGGGAGAATGTGTGAGCTCTTCCAGGGGCTAGATCCTTTAGGTCCGAGTAGGCTTCCTCCATTGACATGACTCAGTTGCAATCCCTAGGGACCCCCATGTGCCAGAGAGCAGAGGCTGGGGTTCAGCTCCCATGTCTGACTCTGCCACTGCTGGCAGGCTGTGCTGAGATACCAAGGACCTGTCATGCTGTGACTCCACTCCTGGAGGGTCTGACTGGCTGTATCCCACAGGTGGGCTCCACCATAATGCCACAGTCCCCAGATGGGCTCTTCCCTGCCGTGGGGATGCATTCGCTGGGAGAAGAGGTCCGGCTCCATCTCCATGCCGAGCTGGGCACTGAGGATGATGACAGTGTCATGATGGTGGACAGCTACGAGGATGAGTGGGGCCGGCTCCACGACGTGAAGGTCTGCGGCACGGTGAGCGAGCTGATTGCCCTGGGTGACCCCTGCAGAGAGCCAACATCTGCCTTCAGCCTGGGCATTTCCTGGTCATGGTCCTTCCTTAGAGCTGAGCTAACTCACTTCCTGCCACTCCCCTGCTCCTCTGGATTCCAGCCAGCATCTTAGCCTGTGCTGCAGCGACGGAGCCCAGAATCCTGTGGGATCAGGGGTAGGGATCTGTGGAGCTCATGCTGTACAGGACTTGACCATAGCCCTAGCTGGCACATGCTCAGGGACCCTTTGGGGATGACTTCTTTCTGCAGCGGGTGTTGAGTGGTCTGTGCTGGAGGGGGTGGCGGCTCTGCGCTTGTGCTGGGTTCTTACTGGGGTTACTGTGCGCTGTGGTGTCAAGCAGGGACACTTTCTTACTTCAAAGGGCCTGGACTGAGAGTCTGTGGAAGGCAGGGTGCAGGTTGGGTCTAGGAATAAGGCTTTAAAGATTTTCCTTCTCTGGTTTGTAAGCTACAGTGGCAGCAGCCGTTTGTACTGCGATAGCATAAATGGCTGCCCAGAAGCTAGCATTGGGCAAACCTAGGACAGACCCTTACTGCCCCGAAGATCTGATGAGCTTAGTCTAAGGCAAGAGCCAACAGGTAGATAAAGCAAGGAGAAGAGCCCCAGGATTCAATGAGAGCAAACTGGCATCTTCTCCCTCTTTGCTACCCAGGGATGCAGCATGGTCTAGCAAATGTGGCTCTGGACTGGGAGTCTGGAACCTTGGGCTCTGTTTCTGGTGCCTCAGTTTTTCCATGTCTGTTCCAGGGCCAGTGATGCTGCCCCACGACCCGCCTGTGCACAGTGCTTCAGGATCCATGGGTGGAAAGTGCTGGCTAATTGCTCAGTAGAATTAGCATTACCCAAGAACGTGCGGGCTTGTGTGATCTTTTGGATTGTTGACTCTATTAATTTCACAAACATCCAGATGCCGATTTATTTTTAGCCAAGCTTGAGGTGGGGTAGTGCTGGGGATTTGCTCCTGACCCCAGAAATCCATCAAAGAAGTGGAATTGTTCCAAGCAGCGCCTTTGAAAACCCTGCTTGGCTTAGCTTCTTGGGCACCCCTAGCAGCGATGTGTGATCTCATACGTGCCTTGGTGGTGATCAACGCCCAGTGAGAGGGAAGAGCCTTGTTGTCTCTGCCAAGGTCTCTTTCAGTGCCTCCTTTCCGCCCGGCCCTGGGAAGCAGCAGGAGCTGAAAATCTGGGACTAGTTGTATGAGATCTGTGTTTACTTGGGAGCCCAGAAGTCCCTGGTTTGGGCTCTGCTGCATTTCAGCCCTGGCATTTGCCTGGTCCCACTTGGCCCAGCGATGAAGGCCTTGAGGTCTCTGAGGACGAGGGGCTGCATTTTGCCCCAGAGATTATTAACTCTCTGTCTAACTGGGATCTGATTTCTATCTTTCTCAGCCCTGCCTGGGACAAGATCAATTCCGAAGACATGTCCTGGTCCCAAAAGCATTAATTCCAATGCACAAGGTGCTTCCAGCCCAGGGTGGCTGAGAAGCACAGGGCTTTGCACTTGCTCACATGCCCTCTTTGCACCACATGTGGAGACCTGTGGATAAGCGTTTAGTCTACTTGTACAGATAGGGAAATTGCCAAACTGTGATCTCTAGGGCTATATAAAACCCAGGAATCCTGGCACTCAATTCCTGCCTTTCCCTATGGAGCTGGGCTCCCTCCTGGAGCTGGGGATAGAACCCAGGACTCCTCACTCCCTTTCCTCTGCCCCTCCCTTAGAAGGACAAAACCTCTCTCTGCAGCTCCAGCCTGATGCAAAGCTGTGGTCTGTCATTAAGAGGGCTGTGAAGCTAGTGAGCCTGCTGGCTGTGTGTGAGTATGGCCCATTGAAGTATTTGAATGTGGCCTTGGGATGCCCGTCTGTTATCGGGGCTGCTGCAATGAAATGGGATTGATGAAGAGTCAGTAATTGCATCCCTCTCTCCCTGTCACATCCGCACTATAGGCTGCTTCTGCCTGCTCCTGAGAACAGCACTGCTAATAGAGTCCCACTGGTGGTTTGCTTGCTGCTGCAGCCAGCCGAGTAATCCAGGACCATGTGTTCCCATCCTTGCTGGGGATGCTGGTCTGGAGAGGGGGCAATGGCCCAGGTTTTGGGCCCTTCCCAGAGCTCAGCACTTCTGCTGGTCTATAGCTTGGAAAGCTGCTGTGCCATTTCTGTCCCCTGCTGGTGTGGTTACCTGGAGCGTGATCCCTATCGATATTGGGTGGATTTTGCCCTGGTTGGGGGAGGGTGCGGAGCAAGTTCTTTACAGCCTGGAGGCAAATGCCAGGCTGCTACCTGATGACCCCTTTGCATGGCTGGGTTGTTGCATAGCTTTTGGGCCATGGTCCCACAAGCCCAGCCTACAGCCTGGCTCCTTTCTTGCTTAGCACTCTCGTCCCCACATATTGGCCACTGCTTTGCTTCCCTCCCAGCCTTTGGCAAGTAGGGGTGTCTGCCCTGCCTGCTCCTGGCAGGGGGCGGTTCGTCACCTGGCAGCACAGGCGAACCTGGAGGCAAGGCTGGTGGTAGTTGTAGGGCCTAGTGCTTCACCTTGTTCCCAGCATCCTGCTGCAGTCAGGAGGCGGAGAAAGGAAACTGCTGACTGTGAAGGTGGGCACCTGAACCTCACAACTTCTTTGTCACTGTCTGGATGCTCACTGCTCTTCAAATGGAGGTAGAGCAAGCATTTGGCTGCTGTTACACCAGATTCCAAGATGCCCGAGTCCCTCGTGTTCAGACAGCTCCGACATGCTGTCCCATGCAATGGGAGAAGTGTGGTTAAACTAGGAGACTCTGTCTTCTCTATTTCTACCACTAATTCACTGTCTGACCATGGGCAAGGCTCTGTTCTCATGGCCTGTTTCCTGCTTTGGAAACGAAGGTCAGTAATACCTGCCGATATCACAGTGGGGGATTGGAGTGCCTGGCACCGTAACAATGCACAAAACAGCACCTGATGCCCATTTTTCGCTCATGAGAGGGCTCTTCGCAGTGACAAGCATACCGCCTCCTTGCTAGCCTGGCCAGCCTGGAAGGCATCGGGTGGAGGACAAGGGTTCATTGCTTTTTGGTTATGGGGTGAAATGTCCCTCAGAAGATCCCTGGGCTCCCTTTTAGCCATTGTACTTGCATCTCCTCTTTCCTCAGGAGATCCCAAAGCCCTCTGATAGAGAAAGATAAAGGCAAACCTTTGTTCACGGATGGGGAAACCGAGGCACAGAGTGGTTGGACGTGACTCACCCAAAGTCGTGGTGTCAGTGGGGCTGGAAGCTAGAACTAGCCATTGCTGCCGCCTCTTCCCAGCTGAAGCTTTCGGAGCATTTCTACCCTTTTTCAAAAACAAATTTGGGGCCCAAACCTTCTCCAGCTGTTAAAGGATTGCAGCTGCAAAGGCAAGCTCCATGTCGTGGCACACACAACGGCCGCTCGCATGAACCGGATGCAGCCGGGCTGGGCCATTTGATCAAGGCGTCGCGGCAGGGAGGAATCTGACGTCTTGGGCTGCTTCCTTTTCCATCTCAACCTTTATTAACCGCCTCCTCCCCCCCCAATTCTCATCTGACATTTCAGTGCAGACAACATCTGTGAAGCTGAATTTTGAGGCAGGGCCAGAGAGACATTCCTAGGCCCTCGCTGACCTTTAGACAGAGCGAGTGTTTCTCGTCGTCTCCCTGGAACAGCTGCGTGGGGTTCTGCCTGCCTGGGCAAGTCTCTTTGGTTCGTCTCTCCTCCGCCTCCCCCCGCTTCTCTCTTGCCATGTGTAAATACCGGCCAGCATAGCCGCCCCACCACAAACGTTCAAACAATGTACGGTGCTAATTGGTGCAGGAGGGTTGGCAGGGTGTGTCGTGAACGCTGAATTAGGAGGTTTATAAATAAGCTCTTGCATTCTTTCACAGTACAGCTGGCTCCTGTGTGGGGTGGCACCCCATCTTTACTCCTTGGGTTTGCATCAGCCCCAGCAGAAGCCACTGTTATCGTTTGGGGCAGAGGGATTCCCATGGGGCTGAACTCGCCCATCTCCAAAGCTGCCGGGTGAGGTAGCTGTGGTTACCATCCTGGGAGCTGGAACTCCTGAATTCTTCTAGCTCTGCTACTGATGCAGCACATGACCATAGCCTTGTCACAATGCTGCCTTGTGCCTCAGTTTCCCCTCTCTAAAACTTCCTGATTCTTGTGTGGAGGCTTAATGTCTGTAAAGAGATCCTCAAATCAATAGCATTTTAAGAGTCTGGAGTGTTTCTTTATATATAATTTTAGAGATTTGTGTGTCTCTGAGTCCATCTGTCTACATGTCCATTTGTTCAAGAACTCTTCCTAAATGGTAAGACCTAGGACCACCAAATTTGGCAAGCAGTTTCCTCTTCTCCTAACTTAAAGCAAGGTCAGAAAACAGGAAGTGCTGGGAGTGGGACTGTTTCCCATAACATGGAAAAGGAGGGGCACAGAGATGAAGGACACAATACTGAGAATAGCTACTGGAGGAGCCATACCACCCAGGGAGTGGGCAGTGGGGCTGGGGTTCTGCCATCTTGCCTACCACCAGACAGGATAAGAGCTCCCCTGCCCCTCGCCCTTCCCCCCACCATGGCCCTTGGCCATAGCGCCCATGGCAGGGAGAGAAGAGACCCTTAGTGGCCAGTGGAGAGCCTGGGAGGGGGGAAGAAGGCCTCTGGGGTCTCAGATGTGAATGTCATGTGAACTTTTTGGGGCCCCCTGTGCTGTTGACAGAGAGGGAGTGGGGCTCCCTTGTCAAGTTGGTATTGGGTTCTTCCCAGGGAGCTGTGCTGACTGAGCAGGCTGTGGCATGCCAACGAAGCCATAGCCCTGCATGCCAGGTTGGTATCATGCTCTGTCTCACTGAGATGACTTAGGCTTGAACAAAGTTGCCTGGCTCACTGTCCCCAGTGGGGAATGGCAAGGAAGTCTGGCATGAGCAAGCTCTTAAAGCCAAGATTAGGAGCTGGGAG